CTATTGTAAGTCCCCTGTACTTTGCAGTGTAATAACTGCGATTCCACTCTGATAGCTTGTACTTTATACTCCGCTCCCCTCCATAGTATTAGTATTCTTCCTTTTTCTGATGCTGTATGATTACTTATGTACTCAAAGCTACTCCATCTTCCTTTCATCAACTCATCTACTTTGCCTCCTGATAATTTAGTTTCTAAGAGCCCGCCAACCCTACCTTATTAATAGAGAAGTAATGATCCACCTCTCTATGTTTCAGGGGACTATTAAGGCCCCTTAGATTCCAGCTAAGAAGGCAATTCATGGCTGCTAGACCCCATACTGGGTAAACTAGCTCCCTGGTTGGTACTTCTGCTTCCTTGTTTCTGCCTGGTGACTTTAACTTCCATTCCTTTTGACTCTTTTCTGGTCAGTATCTGCTTTCCTTGTCTCATTGTAGCAGTTAAGTCTTTCTGCTGTTCTTCTATTTTCTTGTCTGAGCAGTTGCCATCTTGGATCTTCGTTGCCTTCTCTTTTTCCAAACTTTTTGTTGTAATCTGGTCATTTTTTACAGTTGATCTTTCATGCTCCTGTTATTGATCAGCTTTCTGTTTCTATTCCTTAACAACTGGTTTCCTACAGATTTTGGTTTCATGCCCATATCCATGACAGTTCCCACATCTCACTGGCAACCATTCGTACTTGATTTCTTGAGTCTGAACTATACCATATTCATCTTCATAAACCATCTCCTTAGGATTTTCTCTGTGATTTCCATTTCCACAAGCACTCTTGCATATCCAGCCCTGTTTCTCAAAGTAGTCATTTCGTCCATCTCTATAGGCTTGCCCAAACTACTAGTAATTCTGCTAAGAGTCTTGGATGTCCAGTATTTGAGCTGCAATTTTGGCAATTGCACCCAGACTGGAACTAGTTTGACATCTTCCAGCTTGAATCCTTCTTCAACAGACCAGTCTTTTACGATTAAAGGCCTATTATCAAAATGATAAACATTGTTCTTCAACACGTCCTCCTTAGCAGTAATGGACTTAAATCTGACAATGTAAACACCATTGTCCATCTAGAGAATTTTACCTACACCCAACTTGCCCCAGATACGACACAAATAACCACTGACAGCAAAGAAAGGTGGGTTTGCCCCTAGAACATAGCAAATTACAGAGGCTCTCCAATAATCAATGGCTTCTTGAATTTCATTCATTTGGATATGAGGAACAGCCCTATTATGCACCAATCTTGGTTCAATGAACTCTAATTTCCTGTTTGTCTCCTCAAATAATTTAGGGTTCGGGTTCCCCCAAATTCCCATCCCTTCTGAAACCCTAGATACTGAACAATCTTGCTTACCAACATCACTTTTCATACCAGAGGATTCCCCAATTTGAACTATTTTCTGATGGCACAGTTTCTCCAGCATCGAATTACAAGATTTCTAAGCCCTAATTACAGAATTACTGACCTTTAGTGGTGAAGCCGATTTTGGCGAAGTTGATTTTGTGCTCTCCACCTGTTGATTCTGTCCGTCAATCTTCAGACCTTCTTCATCGATTGCTTTCCCTCTTTTCTTCGCTCTTCCTACCATTGTGGGCACATCATAACCGGAAAAGTGAAGGTTTCGAGAATGAATAATTTTTAGTTTCAATTCATGCTAACAGTGTGATTATTTAATAATATAAGACTAAGACAATACTTCATCTTTCCATGTAAAATATATAATTCTTGAGTAATTTTCAACAAGGATGTGATTGTTGAATATTGATAGCTATAATCTCTAACTAATCTATGATCTTAACGTTATAAGTTTAATAATTAATCAATTGAAATGCAATAGCTAATTTATCACATAAAAAAAATCATGTATACATTATGAATATGCATGAGTTTGAACTCCGACCTAGTTGTAGCAGACTTCCTTTTTAGATAATAATTCATTTTGTTGAACTGAAATAATACAACAAAATACACTTTTATAAGACAAAAAGTTATTAATTATTACTTGCTTCGTAAAAAAATTGTCCAGTTAGAATTTTTATTTTTAGTTTACTTTAAACTAAAAATAAAAAGCTAAACTAGACAATAATTTCAGAACGTGGATAACTTCCTAATTACATATGGTTCATGAATTACTCAAGTGAATTTACATAATTTAGCATTTAATTGGAACCAATTTGATATTTAATATATAGCCAATAAAGAAAATGCAACGTAACTTTGAAGAAAGCAAGAGAAAATTTGGATAAAGGGTGATAAAAGAAGTCAAGTTCATAAAAGGGGGGTATGGCTATAAAATATTTTTTATGAAGGGAGTAAATTATTTGTTGAAAATCATAAAATAAAAAATATTTTGAATTGACGATATCACCCTTATAATTTTTTACACAAAAAAATTTTAAAATTAAAAAAAAACAATGGGAAATGAAATCTCGACCAAATTGAAGTCCCAACCAATTCAAACAATAAAAGAACAAGAAAATTTGATCAATCTCCACATAACCATTTGCCTAATTCTCCACTCAAGATCATCATCTCTGCTCCCCATTTTTCCTGATCGAACACCACCGCCAACCTTTCCTTCTCCTCCCTTCTTTTTGTAAGGATCACCACCGCCATCAGTTTCCACCTTCCTTTCTCCCTTTTTTAATTTCTTTCAGCGCCGTTTTGGAGAAGAAGATAACGAGTCTAGGTGTCAATTTTTTCCTAAAACCCATACGCATACGGTGGCATAGTATTTAATTAGTTTTTGTTGTTAATTTTGCCTTGGCCTAACTCGCCTCGTGTTTTCAAATCATGAACTACTGTGGGTTTTTGGTTCTTGGAATCCAAAAAAAAAAAAATCAAGAATTTCGCAATTAGTGTCAAGAGGAGGCTGGGCTCTCAATTCTTGAAATTCTAATTCACAAATAGTGCGTGTAACTGTTCTAATTTGAGAGTAACTTCTCGATTTGCTATTTCTAATGCCGCAGCAAAAAAACGATTGCAATCATATTTGAGTTTCTACAACGTAATTTGAAGTAATCAAAAGTCGAAACAACTCTCCAAGATTTAAGGTTTTTTTTTTTAATTTTATGATTTTTTTTTGTGTAAGAAATTATAAGGCTGATACGGTCAATTCAAAGTATTTTTTATGTCATAATTTTTGGAAAATAAGTTACTGCCTTTCATAAAAAATATTTTAAAGTTAAACTCTTTTTATTAATTTGACTTCTTCTATGCTATTTAACCAAATTTTCCCAAAAACAAAAACAAAAGGTAGGCCTAGAATTCCCCACCTCAATTTGTGTCCTCATTTTGATATTTTTCAACTCCCGCTTTGGGCCTAAAAATAAACTAAACAAAATCTCCTCAAATTTAAATCCCAAGTCAGAAAAACCTTCCCAGTTTTCTCCACTTTCCTTGACCTTCCCTCTCCTCATATTTTGACCCGTTCGAGAACCCTAAATCCCAAATCAAAATCCCCAGATTTGGAATAGGGATAGGAGCAAGGATCATAAACTATTCGAAAGCAGCGTCGTAGCTTCCATGGGTTTTGTTGAAGGGGTCAAGGCGGCGGAGCTGGGCGCAAGTTGAAGGTTAATCGGATCCCGAATGCGTCGGGTCAATCGGGTTGGATAGGAACATGTTTGAGATGCTCGATTCTTCCTGCGCCTGGCAAGAAGAACGTGGGTCAGTGGCATTGGAGCTAGGACGCTTTACAAGGCGTCTTCGAGGTCGACCGATGTTGCTGGAGCCGTTGGCGGAGCTTTGGCGGAAAATTTACTTATTAATAGCTGAAAAAAAAAATGAACAACAAAATATGCTTAGGTTTTAAATTGTAACCAAAAATAGCTTTCTCGCGCTTAAGAAACGCGAAAAAATCAAAATCCGCGTTTTGAAAACGCTAAAAACCAAAATTCGCATTTTGAAAACGCTAATATACGTTTTTTACGTTTCAGAAACGCGAAAAATAAGAAGACGTAATTAATTTAACTTAATCCTAATTAATTAACTTGAATAAATAAGATTTCGCGTTTTCAAAGCGCGAAATCAATTAAAAAAATATTTTATTTAAATAAAAAAGAAAATAGGCATAAAAATATGATTAATTTGACTAGTTTAAAACGTTATAGGGAAATTAAATTCAAAAAATTATTAAATTTGAATAATGGTAACAGAAAATTTTAAAATGATAACTGTTAATCATTAAATTTTGAATAGAGCTATAAAGAGGAAATTATATTGATAATTTTAATAATACAAAAATTAAATTTTGAATAAGAATATAATATTATAATTGATACTCATTAAATTAAATAGAGCCATACTAAATATAAATTATTAAAATTATGATATAGTTATTATAATGTATTAATTTTTTAGAACATTATATAAAAAAATTTAATAATGATTATATTAAAAAATTTTATTAAAAATGTAATCATTATTTTAAAAAATAACTTTATGTGAAAAATTTTCAATAATGATAATGACGTAATTTTATGAATTTAATGAGATGTAATTTAATTTACAAATTATTTTTATTAATTATGATGGTTTTAATATAAGAAAAAAGCTTAAAATAGGAATAAATTTTATTAAATATTTATTATAATTTACCAACACTTAAGATGAAGCAACTATTAATTATGAAAAAAAATATAAGAAAGTTTAAATATGTGTTTCGATTTGATCGGCGAAGATGTGTTTTATAAATATTAATTATTGTATTTATGATGCAGGTGAAATCAAACTATTAAGAATATTAATACAAGTCATAACAAAATACTACAAGTCATAACAAAAGGTAAAAAAATAAAAAAGTCGAACAAAAGGAAAAAACAGAAATGAACAAAAGGGAAAAAAATACAAGTCTAATAATACTACATAAGAAGTCTAGTACCTACTTCTTCTTGGGCTTTTTAGCCCGAAAAAGGCTATAAGTCAATCTATCGGGCTCCTTCGTCACTCTCTGGCCTTTACTCACAGCCCAACGGTGGAGTCCCTAGAGTCGACTCGATCCCTGCTCCTCATGGCGCTGATAACCCCGACCTCAAACCGATCATCCAGTCCGCATCCTCAGCCTCATCCTCAGCCTCATCCTCAGCCTCATCTTCACCCTGACTCTCACGCTCACCCTTAGCTGGGTCATCAGCCTGATGCTGACCCGCAACACCCTCGAACATACTCGAAAGAAAGTTACTCGTGTAATGTATCGACTGGCCATCTAGCGAACTCTGTTGAAACCCAGAAAAGTCAATAAAAGAATCTCCAAACTGACGTTGAGAAGTCTGAGGGGAGGAAAACTGAGTGAAGGCAAAATTGGACTGCTGGTGTTGGGGAGACATAATCGGACGGTAAAACGCCTGTTGGGTCGGCGAAGAATGATGTGGAGACTAATGGGATGAATGATGTGGAGACTGATGGGCTGAATGCTGTCGAGAATGGAGTGGAGATCGATGTGGAGACCGATGGGATGAACCGCGGTGAAGGGAATATGAGATCGCTCATGCTGGGAGGACTGATGTGGCCGAGATGATGTGATTGTCTCTTGCCCCCACGCCCACGCCGAGACTCGCGCGAACGCCTCGGAGGTCTGGGTGGTGGATGTTGCTGGGTCGGGTCTACAGGTGCAAGTTCTTGACTCAAAATGTCATGAACCTCAACATGCCTATCGAGATCGTGACGTACAACATTTGTTGCATTGACGGACAACGCCCGCTCAAGAACTGGGCAATCTCGCCTAAGCGATCATAACCAAAGGAGTCCGCGTCGAAAGTACGCTGGCCTATAATACTCAGACTATGAACGTCCTCCATCAATGTGGCCTGAAATTTTTATTAGAAAGAATCATAAATCGACAACAGTGTTAATAAAAAGAACCAAATGGACTGTAGGCGAAATACTCACCATGAGGCGCAAGGTCTCTGCAGAACCGTGAAAACCCCTCGCATTTTCAGAGTCCGTCGGATCCGTAACATACTTCACAGTAACCTGATGGTACCACAAGAGATACTCCGGATCTGCGGAAGGCTCGCCAACATAATCATCATCAGTCCCCACAAGTTGGGCGTGGCGATCATTCCAAACCTGGAGATATATCCCTAGTTGTTGTAACCATCTCCTATCGGATCCTCCAAACGGCTTCCTCTTGACCAGGCTAGTAATTTCCGCCGCAGTGAGAAGTAATGCGTCGCCGGGTATCCCCTGGTGATAACCAAATTGGCGAAATACCCTACTAGGGTTGTGTGGCGCAACTACATCACCGCAGATGAGCCATGTCTGAGATAGCCATATGCCCTGTCCCACAAGACAAACCCTGGCAATACGACCCAAAAAAGTCGTGTACGGCATCCATACAAACTGCAATAGTAATTAAGTAAGAGACGCGTAATTAAAAGTCCGACACCGTTAAAAAAAACGAATAAAACATAAGTTATACTAATTGAATAGAATACTAATATCAGACTCTGCGAGAACTGCAAGCTGATCCAAGGTACGCGGCCAAATTGAACCGCGTGATACCTTGAACTTTTTTCTCACGGGACCACCTGCACGGAGAAAGTAACATTAAATTGAGACATGACAGTACAAATCAAAATGTCAAAATTTACGAAGGTTTGATGTATAAGATTACCTCGTGCCCAATGGACAATCAGATGGATCGAGATCCCCACCCAGTATCTTGGGCTGAACCGTCAAAATCCGCTCCCAGGCCCAGAGCTAATTTAGAATGAAGAAATCATTAGCTAAAATCACCAATAATAATGGGAGAATATAAAATGAAACTAGAGAGAAATGAAAAGATAAAATACCTGAAGAAGAATCACACAGCCGGTAATAACCTTGGCAGAAGTGGCCAGAGATGACTTGGACATGCTGCGGTACAAGTAACATAATGCCGCACTACCCCAATTGTACTCCGAGCAAATCTCGGGAGTATGAAGAAAATGCACAAGATCGAGAGGAAAACTGTTTCTCGTAGTGTTTGAGAACAGTAATCCGCCAACGAGCCATCCAACAAAACAACGGGCTCGCTGTAGGTGTGCATCGTCAGGGAACAGGTCCGTCAAAGGATTATTCTCTATGTGAGTCTTTATTTCAGTGATGGAAACGCTCGTCAATCTAGACTCCTCTGTCTGGAACCTAAATCCAAACATCCTCTCCAAATAGGCTGCCCAACCACCATCAGGCATGGTGTGATGTCCTGTAACTGGACGTCCATCAACCCGAAGACTCAAAAGAACCTCGACGTCCTGGAGTGTGATAGTAGCCTCCCCAAAAGGTAAATGAAATGTATGGGTCTCTAGGCACCATCGCTCCACAAGAGCTGTAAGCAGGGCATGGTCACATCTTATGGACCCAACTCTAGAGAACGGTCCAAAACCAAATTTCTCAATATATTCCTTTGTCAACCTCGGTGCATCTTTTATTAATTTCCACGCGGCGCTATCTACGCGCCTGGGCTCCGAAATCCCTATATCATACTGTGCACCATGGAATATATTGTGTGGCCTATGGGCGTTTTGGAGAAACAATAAACTACTGTCTCTGGGTCCCTGCCGTAGCTTCTTTGAGGTAGATTGGGAGGAAGAAGATGATCCAATGTCCATGGCTAGTACAATTTACAAATAATTTTAGTAAGTACAGATTAATATTATTATTCTTTTTTATTATCCTATACATTAAAAATTCCAACCTTACATTTTAGTAAATACGGATTAATATTATTATTCTTTTTTATTATCCTATACATTAAAAATTCCAACCTTACATTTTAGTAAATAGGATTAATATTATTATTCTTTTTTATTATCCTATACATTAAAAATTCCAACCGTACATTTTAGTAAATACGGATTAATATTATTATTCTAATCTAATTATCCTATACATTAAAAATTCCAAACCTAAATTTTATTATCCTAAACCCACTCCTCTAAACCCAACCCAATCCCCAACCCAAAACCCACTCCTCTAAACCCAACCCAATCCCCAACCCAAAACCCACCCCTCTAAACCCAACCCAATCCCCAACCCAAAACCCACATTCTAAACCCAACCCAATCCCCCAAACCCTAAAGCCCCTAAGCCCAAAACCCCAACAAACCCTAAGCCCAACCCTAAACCTACCCCCAAACCCTACACCCCCTGCATTCCCCCCGCCGCCCCCTCCCCTTCATTCCCCCCGCCGCCCCCCTCCTCTATACCCCCTGCATTCCTCCGCCACCCCCACCCCGCCGGCAACACCATTCCAACAATATCATTGAATCCGAAATTTTTTTCACCCAACCCAATCCCGAATTTTTTAAAAAATTCCACAATTACAACAAATATAATACTAGATCTATTAATAGAGTATTAAAGCGCGAAATAAAATTACAAATAAAACAAACACAAAATATATGAATCAAAAATTAAAGCATGAATTAAAAAAAAACGATTCAATGAGAGCAAAAAACACAACTTACCTCGATATATAGCCTAAAAACTGCAAAAAATTGATGCCGAAACTCGATTCCGGCAACTCTCCCAGAAAAACCGCCGTTTTCAATGGAGTACGCCGGATATATGGTTCTGTTTGAGAAACATCAACCCGAAACGCGAAAAATTTATATAAGCACCTATTTTCGCGTTTCAGAAACGCGAAACTACCTATCCCCCAAAAACCGCGTTTTAGAAACGCAAAATAATGCTCTCCCTATTTTCGCGTTTCAGAAACGCGAAAAAAATGTTCACCTTGTCTTTTTTCGCGTTTCAGAAACGCGATTATTGGGGTATAACTAAAAAAAAAAAAAACGTCTGATTTTTAGGCCGGATATATGATTCTGTTTATTGCGGTGATATATGGTTCTGTTTATTGCGGTGATGAATAAACAAATAATTAATTTTCTTACCCTTTAGTGTTTATTACATAATTAGTGCTTTATTCGACATGTATATATCATATCACTCTACCACTATAGTAATAATTAGTAATATTGCTAAAATGAACAGCGATGTTTTTTTTTCAAAAATATTACTAATATAAATTACAGAAACATCCAAACCAACACACTAACACAAATACAAACGCAAACTGATTCATCCTCTGAGGTTTACTACATGAATGTTCAAAACAACACAAAAATACGAACACTAACAGAATCATCACAATAGACGATGTGGAAAATCATCACTACGCATCATCATCATCATCAGAATTGATATTAGGCACACCACGAATTCCATATGGATCGTACAGTTTATCAATAGCGGTCCTGTCAGCAGGTGGATGAGAAGAAGGGCATTCCACAGCATCATGATCTAAACTTCCACATCGTGCGCAAACTCTCGCATATGGGCAAGCTCTGGCATTATGGCCTTGTAGCTTACATAAACTGCAAGTTTGGAGTCTTCGCTGGCCAGATTTGCTTGTATAATCCATCACACCTTTTTTCCGATTCACACGCTTCTGACTTCGGCCAGCATGGTGGACAAGTTTAGTGTCATCTGGCCTGATCTGCCACTTTGCCTTTGGCCATGGTTCCATGATTGGGTTGAATTCTCCAGAAAACTGCTGGTACCATTGATGCGTAGTGTAACATGGATCAAAAAGTGGGAAGGGATCGTCACCTAGCTCACGGGCAACTCGAAGTGCATGGGAACAAGGAAATCTGAAAGTCTGCCACCTTCCACAAGTGCACTCTCGATTTGCATACAACACAACTTGCTTCTCCTCAGCCTTCCATGGTTGATTATCGGGTGCTATTGTAACCACTTCGTACTTCTAGTTTCTCTTGCTAAACCGGTTGACCTTTTGCCTCAATGATTTCTTCCGGGCCTCTTCATACAGTTTCATTGACTTAGGAGGTAGAACAGTCTGATATTTTTGGATCATATCAATGTTTGCCTGAAACAGATTGTTGCTTTTCTGAAAGGATGTTAGGATCAATGCTGTGATCGGGAAGAATCTAGCACCTTTCAGCACATTATTGAAACTCTCTGAGATGTTAGTGGTCATTTCTCCCCAACGATGCCCTCCATCGTGTAAACAGGTCCATTTCTCAACACCCAGCTTCTGAAGCCAACGAGCAGCAAGCTCATTTTTTTCTTCTAATTTTTGCCACTCTGCCAAAAACCTTGTCTTTTGCGTCGCTGAACCAATCATTTGACAGTTGCTACCCAGTTTCTCCTTTCGAAAATGCCCAACCAAGTTTGCTTTAACATGCTCTAGACAATACTGGTGGACTCCCATCTCTGGGAATTTTTGCAACATGATGTCCATGGCAGTAAGGATACCCTGATTTCGATCAGAGATAATACAGGTCTTCCTATCCTGTAGAACAAACTTTTTCAAATACTTCAAAAACCATTTCCAGCTGTGTATAGTCTCTTCGTCCACAAGAGCAAATGCGATGGGAACAATCGTGCCATTTGCGCACTTTATGCATGCCACAATTAGTTTTCCCTTGTAGGATCCTCGCAGGTGAGTGGCATCGATGGTTATTACTGGCCAGCAAGCATGAAATAACTGTATAGATGGCCCAAATGCCCAGAAAACATACCTACATACAAACCTTTGCGAGCTTCCTGAATTTTCCTTAAACTTCAATTGCATACAAGTGTCCGGGTTTGACATGAACAATGCATCGAGGAAGCTGGGCAGTTGTTGAAAATTACTTTCCATGTACCATACAGAGCCTCAAGTGCTTTTCTTCTACCATGCCATGCCTTCTTGTAGCTACATTCGACTTGGTACTTCTCCAAAACTTCTATTTGAATTTGGGCAACTGCAAAATCTGGATGTTTTCGCACATTTTGGGCAACCAGTCTAGCAATCATAGAAGACGTGACGTTTCGGGACTCGTTTATCTTGTTTGCCCCAAGACAGTTGTGGGAATCGGACCATACCACCATTTTCCAAGTATCGGTGGCCTTCTGTACCGAAACTCGCGCCTTCCATAGACAATCATAGCCGTGAAGACGCTCTTTCGGATATTTGGGTCCACACGTCTCGCATTCGACATACCATGTTCGTTTAGAGCTCGTTTTCACCCGGAAAATCTGACCATGTACCAAGTTCCATTCTCCCACTGCCGCTTGTGCCTCAGGCTTGTTGGCGAAATGTATATCAAGGCCTAGCGTCAACGGATTGCCATCCCACATTTTAATCCCATCACAATCTACTTCCTCTAAAGTCTTGTCCCATCCACTTATGTCGTCGAAAACATATGGGACTGAAGAAGATGACTCAAAATCAGTGTCGTCATCTGAGTCCTCATCCGATGGGACGTACTCATCATCACTGCTTTTGACACCCCCGCCATCTTCATCTTCATCTTCATCTGCATCTTCATCTTTATCTTCATCTTCATCTCCATCTTCATCTCCATCTTCATTATCTTCAACTGTTCTACCACCACTAGTGCTGGCACCAATATCCTGGCCAGATGTACTTGCATAAACATGGCCTGTTCTCTCAACATTTTCAGGATACAATTCTGGCCATTTATCAACACAAAGATAAATGAACCGAACAGTATTATCATCATTAATGTGCACACGAGACCTTTTTTCTGACCTCTCCGTCCATACCAAAGAAAAATCAATATACAGCCCTTCTCTATCAACTTCCATCACACCACATACCTTATCAACAAGTTCCGAGAAATCTAACATACGATCAATGATAAGATAACCGTCCGGCGCATCCCGCTGTACCGTGATAGTCCCATCAGGTTCAGTTGTATAAGTAGTATTCCAGTATAATTTCAGACGAACTGTCTCCGTGAAAGACATTTGCGGCCTGCAAAATTCCTACGAAATCAGAACACTAGCATACATTTTGATTTTTAGTTCTGCGGAAACAGTATTTACCCCGTTTACAGATTTAATAATTTCAAAAGAACAACTATACGCATGAATTTACAAATTCATTTCTATGCTAAAAATTAATATAAAATCTAAACCTTATGCCCGAATTACATAATTTATTCTTATGCTAAAAATATTCAAAAATTCAATATCATTATTATAATTTTATTTTATTTTACAGAAATCGATATACAATAATTTTCAAAACGCTAATCTAATTTAACATTCTATTAACTAATATTTCTTTCAATTCACTTTATCAGCCTAATTAAAAAATCACCGTTAATTGACTAAATCACAATTATTTATTAACTAATAATAATGCGTAAATCATCCTATGCTCACAATAAGGCATAAAAAAGTACATATTTTCTATAACGAAATTAACTTACCTGAATGTTGAAAGAAATGAAAGCTTTTACGGATTTAGGACTCAAATCAATCTTCTTTAACTTCGGAGCAATTTCTCAAATTGAAGGAAATGAGAGCTTTCATAGAATCTTAAAATCGGACCTGAACAGAATGAACGAAAAAATGCTGTTATTTTGCTTGGTTTAGTATATAAATCTTAAATTTCGCGTTTACAAAACGCAAATACAGTCAAAGACTTATCATCAAAATACACGTGGAGCCGAATGAGTGGATGAGGAGATTTTCTTGATATTTCGCGATTTCAAAACGCTAGAAGAAATTTTTCGCGTTTTGAAAACGCTAAATTCTTATCAAACCGCAATTTATTTTAAATAATTTTTTGCGTTTCTGAAACGCTATACCCATTTTTCGCGTTTCCAAGACGCGAAAAATGATTACCCTTTTTTTATTCAATTTCTTCTCTCAACGGAATTTTTGGAAAGATGATTAAAACGATTCGCGTTTCAGAAACGCGAATTGTTAATCCAATTTTTCGCGTTTCCAAAACGCGAAAAATGATTAGCTTTTTTTATTCAATTTCTTCTCTCAACCGAATTTTTGGAAAGATGATTAAATTGATTCGCGTTTCAGAAACGCGAATTGTTAATCCAATTTTCTTGTTTCGCGTTTTCAAAGCGCGAAAACATTATATTTGTCCACAAAAAAAATTCTACACATTTTTTGTTCCACACTTTTGGGTTTGGCTTACCCAAAAGTCAAGCACCCGAGCTTTGGCAAGGTCACCGGAAAACAGGTTTTGAAGCAATAGTTACCGATCTGAGTCCATTTTCTTAAAGCTTATACTTTTTTTTCTCAACTGGCTTATTTGGGTTTGTTTTTGCATTTTTGAACTATATTTTGATAAAAAAATGTTTGAGAACTCTCATTTTGATATTTTCCGGTTACTCAATTTACCTTGCTTTTGTTTGTTCTATATGAAGTGTTTGGGCCTGCGTATTCTCACTAGCTCCAGGATGGAATTCTCATAGTTAATTTAGCTTTAGAAATAAATAATAGAGAAAATATGGCCAAGGATTTAAGATCAAATCAAGAGCTTGCTAAGTCGGTAGTTGGGTTTGCAAAGTTTTCCTTTGGCAGAGGTCTTCATCTCCCACCTTGTTTATCATCTTTGAGGCTGGTAAGGATTACTTGAGGATTTCTTTGCATGAATCCATCATGTGTGAACTCTGTCTAGCATTGTTGTTAATTGTACATGGCTCCAACTAGTGTTTTGTTGTCCTGTGCAAATTCTGCTAGAATCATGTTGCTATTAGTTGGAGCTGGGAATAAAACAACATTATTAGATTCTATTCATGGAGCCTCATTTGATGGGCATGCTATTTCTATTTGGCAACAGTAACTATAAAAAAAAAGAAGAAGAGTAACATGGTCTCTGCTGATGGTGTCAAAAATTGTTCCTGAAACACGTTGCTATTTTTGTTTTTTAATAATCATAGTGAATTCAACTATTGATACCAGGAAGAGTATTGCTGGATAATGAATTCTTTTGAACTATGATCGCTGAGTGGCTTTGAAAGGTTACGGAAGCTTTGCCCATTTTAGATTATGAAGTTTTGTTAGTTTAATATAGATGCGAATAGTTCCCAATCTTACATCTTTGAGAACTTTTGTAATTTTTAGATTGTAAAGTCTTTTTTTTTTTTTTTTGTTCCATACTTTTGTAGGATGTATACAACCCATACAAGAAGTTGGCGTGGATGTGTATTTTGACGACAAGCAGATTCTAATGGCGACAAGCAAATTTTGACGACAATTTCTCTTGATGGAGGTACAATGCATGAAGACGAACGTGTTTAGGTTGAGGTTAGAGTTCTTTTATACAATAGTTGATTTTTTTTGGCTTGCAGTTAGAGATTATTCATCTATGAGGTTTTTGGATTTTCATACTTGTACAATTTATCTTTTTGTTGTATCAATGGATATTTGGAATATTACAATGAATTGTATAAGGTTGTATTAAATTTATTGGAATTTTCTTAACGGATTGCGTAATTGTAATATTTCATTTTAAAATTATACAAAATAATTAAAGAAAAAAATAAAAGGGCAATTTAACAACGGGTTGATTACCACTGAATTTCCGTGGACGAATCATCCACAAATTTGTTACAAAATATTGTTCGACAAATTAATCATGGATTATTTACTGAAATTTTGTAGATAAAAATTTTCACGATTTAACTACCGAAAGTTCGTGGATAAATTAATCACAAAATATCCACAAAACTTCTATGAAAATTAACCACGAATACCCACTGATACTCTGTGTTTAAGTTGTCGTGTTTTTACTTAAATCCCACAAAGATTTGCACACGTTATACCTACGGACAAATCTGTGAATAAATCAAGCATGGAGCATATAACCACGTCAGTGTGTTCGTGGATAAATCCGTGAAAACTTCTCTTACCCACGGCTTACAAGGCAAAATTAAACAAGAACATGTCCGTGGTTGATTGATCTTTTTCTTAACACAAGTGTGGAATTATTTTGCAGTAAGACTAGGTGTTATATCTCATAATAATGCAGGATGGTGGAGTTTGCTTCAATCTTGGCATGCCGTAAGGAGTCACTCAATGGCGAAAAAATCGATCATAATGGTAACTCCCATTTTTCTGCTATGGGAAGTATGGAAACTTCGAAATAAAGTGATTTATGAAGGTATACCTTTCTCCTACGACTACTCGATTCAAAATATTACTACTAATATTTCTAATATGTTGAGTGTTCATAAGTTCCAAGTAAAAACAGTAGCGGAGCAAAAAGAAGTGGAGGACCTTTTCAGAGTTAAGTGCAAAATCCGGTAAAGAAGAAAGTAAAGATAATCAAATGGAAGTCACCTGACTCTAGAGGACTTGTGCTAAATACTGATAGATCAGCTTTGGGGCAATCGGGAGAAGCAGGATGGGGTTATATCTTGAGAGGCGAGCATGGCATTTTTATTGAAGCTGCAAGCAAGTATATGGGTACAGCGACTAGTCTAGAGGTAGAGCTAGTTGGAATCTACCAAGGAGTCAAAATATGCACACAAAAAGGGCGACAACGAATTGAAGTGTAAATAGATAATAAAATCATCATACTTTGTCTTCAGAGAGGCAGGGATTTTCCCTGGCAATACTATCGCTATTTCAGAGAGATTCAAGAAATGTTGAGAGCTTCCCACTCTAGAATTATAGACATATTTCGAGAGGCAAATAGTGTAGCTGATGATCTTGCTTGACAAGGTTCTGCAAGGATTACAAAGCAATACGATAATCTAAGTGATCTTCCCGCCTCAACACGTGAAAAAGTTCTAGATAGTCTTTATGTTCCATATCTAAGAATTAGATAATTTCTCAAGTTTTTCTTTAGGGTTTGGAAATTTTTTAAAAAACTATCTATTCTTTATCTTAGAATTAGATAGTTTCTATCTACTTTGTAGTTTCACTGATGATGTAAATTATAGGGTTAGATCCATACTCTGCCCTATATCTTGTTTTTTCACTTAAGAAATAATATTATTGGAAGAGGAATGAGACTAGGGAATTAGGTGATATATGTCTATCCATTGGTATACCTGTGGCTACATTATATCATCAAGCACTGACTTTTTTCAAAAATTCATCTCTTGGGTATACGAGTATTTTTGTGGCAGTTGGAACCCGAATATCATTTTTCATCCTCTTTTTGCCAAAAAAAAAAATAAAAAAAAAATAACAGTACCCGCCAAAATAAAAAAAACTAAAAACAATGAGGAAAGTATGATACTTTTTGGAAGAGAATAACTTGGGTGATGACGTTTCATTAAGTTTGAGAGATGTGTTAATTTGTGAATAGATGAATTATAAATTAAGATATCAATATCTTAAGTAGGTTAATTTTTTTTTCTTGTGGATACACAACTAATCAATTACCTAAGAGACCGGAGTAAATGCAACATGCCAGAATATTCATAACAGGAAAGGGAAAAGAGTGGAGGTGAACTGGGTCAAAGAACTACCTTCCTGGAGCTACATGCCAGAATATTAGCTTTGTAACCTGAGACTGTTGGAAAAAAATCTATATATACAAAAGGAATATATATCATTATATATATTAAATATTAAATAAGAGTTTTCAATCAGACACTTGGCGTAAAATTAGATAGGGTAATCTATATTGCAAAAAAATTAGATAATCAAGTGCACATGTCTCATTCACGTCGCTCCATTATTTAATAGTAGTTTTTTATTTGTAAGTTCATGAAATCAATAAATAACCGATTTAAGCCTTTTTTTTTAATTACTAGCTAATTTTGGCGCGTAGCGCGGTGAATTCGAGTGATGCCCAGTAATAAAATAGTTGTAGTATTTTAAATATATCATGTTATTTTTTTGTAATGTAATCTATTTTTCACTCAGCTTAAATGGATGAGGCCAAATAAAGTCGCATTTCAGAGTAAAAGAGGGACATATTGGAACAGAATTTTCATTTGAACACTTCGCATCTATATAAATTCCGCCACACTGGGGATTAAAATAATTCTTAAATTTGCAAAGGAACAACGAACTATGGTAATTTAAACATAAAGTTACCAAAATTGAAACATAGACAAAGTAAGGCAATATAAGGCCCTACTAAAATCAATATCTTTCAATGACTAAAACCAAGACGAATTTAATGCCTAGCTCGTCGTAATACCATGATACATCTTGTAAGATAGCAGGTCCTCCATCTTCAAGGAGACAACCAAAATGCAAAGGAAAAATGCATGAATTCATATTCTCGAGTCAACTCTAGCCCATGCTTCACAAATGGTAACCTACAAAATATGACATCAGTTCCTTCTAACTTTCGGTATTTGTGTCTCTCCCTCTAAACAAAAGTTATTTATACTTAAATATAAAAGAGAGTTTTGAAGCGAATGATTACACTAATAATCAGAAAGTATGCAGATGATTTTGCTTCTTCTTTACATTGTCTCAATTTAAAATAGGTTTCAAGAACCAAAGTTAGATGCAAAATTAGATTAATATCCATTCCTGGACTTCATTCTGAAGGGCCCATGCGTCATCAACAACTTACCGGCTGTTCTGTTGATCTTATGATAATAAAAACCATGCTTGAGTTTAGTAACAAGAATTCATATAACATTCAAGTTTTGGATGATCATGTGTACAATAATGCATACCCTTCACCAGCATAGAAGCGTAATGGTGTGCTTAACCACTAAAGATGCTGTTGCATTTGTCTAATGATCATATTTGGATGCACATATTCACAAAGTCCTCTAAAAGAATAGTTAGGTTTACGATGGTTCAAACTTCTGAGAATAAGAACAAGAAAGAACACATCACTTAATGGCAAAGCTCATATTATTGATTAGACATCACTAAGAATTGAGGTGGTGTCCCTTAGATTAAACCACAATTTCACACACATTATAGATATCAAAAGAAATAAAAGGAGGGAAAATGAGAAAGTAACCTAGTTCATTTAAATTCTAGTTAAGGATAGATGCATTGCACATTTGCAACAAGGCATCGACCGACCATGAGGCATTGTTCCGTTCATTCTATCTTCATCGTTTTGCCAATCTGTTCTTTCGAGATGGAAGATGCAAATTGATATTGATAATGCTCGTAAGAAGTGAAATTGTGAAGTGTATATGAGTTTTTGAAATCATCATAAAAATAAACATGCAAGAGTAAATTTAATTAAGAAAACATGGAGAATCAATTTAAAGGACATGTTAAACCATAGCTAGACAAACATTTTTGTGTGGAGCATTCACGTTTGTGAACCAAAGAACTTCTTGAAAAATCCATCTTGTTTCTTTTGTGCGTTCTTCTCATCACAGAACACCGGAGGCACAATTACCTCCACTTCATGGGCCGTTTTTGACACAAGATACAGTTCTTCGAGCCTCTTGGTTTCCAAGATTCATGATAGAAACCCACTTTTATTCTCCCTAAGTCAACAAGAATGTCAAAAACATCCTTTAATAAGGCTGATTCAATTTCCTCTCCGTCATGCTGTTGTTTAAACCAAATCTTGGAAGCAATTGAATCCAACTTCAGTTACGGAGGTTCGCGTTCATGTCTTTCTCCTCGTAACCACCGCCCCCCCCAAAAGGCCTCACTTCCTTGTACTCTTCAAAAGTAGGCATTACTCGCTGTTGTTTTCGCAGTCCCCTTCTTTTTTTTTTCTTTTTTTTTCTTTTGGATTATTGCATAAGGCCTCAAATACCCTCTAGCACTAAAATGTTAATCCAACTTCCTGCCGTAGTTTTCTAGAGCTTAACGACAACTGTTTGCAAAATTGCCCAACCCTCATCCTTTGACGAGATCAACGACGTTTTGGGGATGACCCCGAAAACAAAAGATTCAAAATCGGAAGAAGTTGCAATATGGGCAAGAGGAAGATGGAAGGGAAGCGATCTAAGCAAATTAACTACAACACCAACACACCAAAGATCAAAATAAACAGAAAAAGAATTATAGAATCGATGAAAAAGCACATCTAAAGAACGGGGGAGAAACAGAGAAGTTAGGACCCGACTAAAGGCATTGCTCTGTTGCTTTAAACATGAACACAAAATCAAGCATCGGAATTCTCGAAAGTTAGTTTAAGTGAACACGTAAGATAACCACAGTCTGCATCGATTGAATAGAATCATATTGACGAAAAAATAGATCCAAAAAGAAAAGAGTAAAACACTTGGAGCGAAGAGAGGATGGTTGTTGTGGATGATATTGATGATGACAGCGGAAGAGGGAGAGTCAAATTTCGAAACTAATGGCAGATAGCCACTAAAGATTATGGAATCTTTTAAGCGTCATCTGAAAGGATGGGAGGAGCCTGTAGGAAGAAGAGCAAAGCTTCGCCAAGGGAGCAACGTTTCGGAAAAAAGGGTCCAATATTAAAGTGAAAACAAAAGTCACGTGAGATACATATGGGTCCAACCAAAATTGAAGTGAAAAAAAAATTGATATTGAGAGTCTTATATGTATACTTAAAAAACTCCAAAATTTATCCAACTGAAATACATGGGCCAAAAGGCCAGGGTTGTCAATTTCCTCAGGGGATATAACGTTAATATATTTTTGCCTGTACGTTGCACCAAAAAAACATTCCCACTGCCCAAAAAAAATTACCATCAATTCAAGCCACAAAAAATAACAACATATTTTTATCCGTGCTATGCACAAAAAAAAGTTATCATCAATTCAGGCCACTAAAAAATAACAACACATGATAAAATTTTACTAGAAAAAATTTCCATTAAAAAACTCAAGAGTTCATAAAAAATTAACATCAAATTAGTTCATAAAAAAGCTCACTTAATTTGTAGCCATCTGAGAAGTATTGAGTTTGCTTTGAAACTCAAAAACCCTCTCTCTATCTGCGAAATCCCTCTCTCTGCGAAAAACTCAGCCGCGTCCACCGGCCACCATGGCCGGATCTCGTCTACCGGCGGCAACACCTACGTCGCCGAAATCCTTCGCTAGTTTTTTTCAAAAACAGGTTGACGTATCTACGGCTTCTTTGATCAAGGAAGTCAAGTTTATCAATGGCACTCCAACTTTGGAGTTTGAAGATGAGGAATTTGAAAAATTAATTGCTCCACACCGGTTAAGCCTAGTCGGAAAATTCTCGTACGGTAGGCCGAAAACGGAGGCGATTCACGCCGAATTCAAGAAGATCGGATTCAGTGGTGTATACACCTTAGGTTTGATGAATCCTAGAAATGTATTGATTCGCTTTAAAATGGAGGAGGACTATCAAAAATGTTGGATTCGAACATTTTGGAATATTGGTGGATTCTCAATGTGATGTTGAAATGGATGCCCGGATTCAGATTTGAGGAAGACCCTCCGGTTGTGCCAATATGGGTAGCTCTATACGATCTCCCTATTGAATTCATGCACCTGGAAGTGATTTACTCGATGGCCACAGCCCTTGGACAGCCTTTAAAAGTGGACACTCAGACATTGAATATGACCCGTCCCTCGGTTGCTAGATTCTGCCCGGAGGTGGATCTTACCAAGGTTTTGCCAAAATCCGTAAAGGTGGGCAGAAAGGGTCGTAAGCATGAACAATTCTTCACATTCGAACGTATACCGTCGTATTGCTCGAAATGCTGCAAAATTGGCCATAAAGATATTGATTGCAGGGTCGGTAAACCCATGGAAAGAATGAATAATGCGGACAAGACTGAGGTTCCTGTGAACAAGGGAATCAAAATCAAGTCGGCAAAGCCTAAATGGACATTGAAAGGAGGTGATTCTAACAATGCATTGAAAGCTCAAATAGTTAGCTTGAATCCCCTGGTGGTTAAAGGGGTGGAAAAGGCAGCAAAAATGGCAACGGAAACATTGAAAGGTAACCCTGCTGTGGAGGCGACAAAAACCCTAGATGCGATGCCCGCGGAAGGAGCTGCGGAAGAAACCCTAGGCGCGGAAGGAGCTGCCGAAGAAACCCTAGGCACGCAAGGCTAGCTGCGGCACCTTCAATCATCTTCTGGTCTGACTGCGATGGAAAAAGAAACAATTCTGGTGGATTTGCAGCCATCCCCGGACAGAACTGAAGTTGTTTGTATTGATGCGCCTGTTCTTGTTCCATCTGGAAATCAATTTTCGATTCTCCAGGCTGCGGAAGATGATGAGGCCGAAGAGGAGATGGTAAATGTCCATTCTGCTATTAATTCCGATGTTCACACGCAGAATCAGGAAGGTCAAGACAATATTGGTGCTATTTTGGTTGATGGGAACTCGGATTTAGCCAACAATAGAGCTTTCCTTGAAGTAGAGCTGCGAAATTTGTCCCCAGTCCCGCAACAAGACTCCATCCGATTCAACGATGATACATTCGAAAATGAAATCCCTGATACAGATGTGTTTCATGATGAGAGAGCATTCTGGTCTGATGGAGAGATTCACGATGATCACATTGTTGAAAATGAACAAGGCGAGCGCACTGTCACCAAGAAGTGGTGGCGCAAGTCGAAGGAAGAACGTGCAAAACAGTCGGAGGGTGTTGAACTAAGGAGATCCCTTAGTCTTCAGTAGGTTCCAATCTTTAAAACTTTTTAAATGATTAGCGTCGTTTTTTGGAATATTCGTGGAATAAAAAGTCAAGCATCTCAGCGTCGATTGAGGTCCATATTCAGATTTACAAAATTTCCTTGTTGATTATACTTGAGCCAATGCTTCCTTGTCATAAATTGGAAGAAATAAGACGAGAGTTGCAGTTTGATAAGGCATTCTCCTCTGCCACAAGCAAAATATGGGTTTTTGGTAGCCGGACTTTCTCCATAAATATGATAGAAGATGCGGGTCAGGCAATGCATTTCCAAGTTACATGTGTTCCGCTTTAGAAAAATTTTCTGTTATCTTCGATATATGCTCAATCAAATAAATTTGATAGGAGAGCACTTTGGAACAGCTTGGGGACATTCAAGAAGCGCACCCTAACTCTCCTTGGATCGTTCGAAGGGACTTTAATGTTATTAGGTCCTTGGATGAATACTCGGGTTCGTCGGTGCAAGATTATGGTGCTATTGAAGAGTTTAATGAGTGTATTGACGATAGCGAATTGCTTGATCTTCCTCCCATTGGTGATGAGTATACTTGGGGTGGTACGAGGCATACTGGTTGGGTTAGCAAGTGATTGGATCTCATCTTGATAACACAAGAATGGAACAATCTCTTTCCGAAGATCTCGTTGGAGCACCTAAGTCGTACAACTTCGGATCATTCGCCACTGCTTCTACAATTGGATGCCCAAGCTGAAAGTAGGCCAAGGTGTTTCCGTTTTCAGCAAATGTGGCTAAGGAGGCCGGGTTTTAAGGAGTTGGTCAAGGAAATTTGGTCTCAGCCTATCCAGGGTTGTGGCATGTTTGCGTTTTCTATTAAACTTCGTCGACTGAAATTAAAACTCAAGGAATGGAATAGGGAACACTTTGGAGATGTCTTTGTAAATTTAAAAAAGGCTGAAGCGTGGGTTAAGGAATTGGAAATTCGGCATGATCAAACTGGTGATATAGCGGACCGAATCAATCTTAGCGAGGCCAATGCATTTTATCTCCAAAAGTTGAAGGAGCATGAGGATTTCTGGAAGCAAAGGATGAGATTGAAGTGGTTAAAGGAAGGGGACATTATTTCAGCTTTTTTTCATGCCACGTTAGCAGAGAAAAATGTAAAGTTGGGAATACAGAAAATTCAATCGGTGGATGGAAGAACCTTAACTGAGTTAAGGGATATAGAGGCTGAGGCGGTGAGCTTTTTCCACACCTTGCTTACTGAGGAGCTAGCGCCAACTTCGCAAGCAGAAAAACAGGAAAAGTTTTTGCACCTATTACATGATGAGCTAGATCTTTTGGACAAAGAAATGCTAAATGCTGCGGTAACAATGGAGGAGCTGCGGGCTGCGGTCTTCAACCTTGGTGAGGATAGCTCGCCGCGAGTGGATGGATTTGGCGGGACGTTCTATAGAGCATTTTGGCACGTTATTGCTGAGGACTTGCTATGCGCATGTGCTGAATTTATGAGTGGTGTGCCGATTCCAAAAGGTATATCTAGCACCTTAATTACATTGTTGCCGAAGAAGCATTCCTTCACTAAATTTTCAGATTTTAGACCTATCAGTCTTTGCACATTTCTGAATAACTTTTTTACTAAAATCTTGACTGAGAGGATGAAGAAAATTTTGCCAAAAATCGTATCGGAGGAGCAGTCGGCTTTTCTTAAAGGTCGGGATATTATAGATAATGTGGTTTTGGCTCAGGACCTTTGTCAATTCGTTACTCACAAGGCTGTGGGAAGTAATGTGATAATAAAGGTTGACATGATGAAAGCTTTTGACCGAGTCTCTTGGAATTTTCTAGAGAAGGTTTTGCTTAAGCTAGGGTTTCCGCAAGGGTTTGTCTTGTTGGTTATGAATAATCTCCAATGCAGTTGGTTCTCAGTGATGATTAACAGCTCCACAGCAGGATTTTTCAAGGCAACTCGTGGAATAAAATAAGGTGATCCATTGTCACCTTACCTTTTTATCCTAGTTGCGGAGGCAATGACGAGGCGCCTTAATTTTTTGATGCTAGAAGGGAAGCTAGCAGCGTATGTAACTCCGGCCGGGAGCTTAAGGGTGTCACATTTATCCTTCGCTGATGATTTGATAATCTTCACTAGAGGAGAAAAGAGATCTCTAAGAACATTGGATGCGTTTTTCAATGATTATGAAATAGCATCAGGCCAAAAGATGAATCGCCCAAAAAGTTTTTTTCTTGTTGCGGAGTCATGTCGGGCACGAAGGATAGAGATCATTACAAATAGCTTGGGGATGCAAAAAGGCTCTTTTCCATTTATGTATCTAGGCTGCAAATTATTCCGGGGGAGGAAAAAGTCTTCAACCTTCCAATTCTTATAGGACTCACTGGACTCTCGGCTGGCTAATTGGAAGAATAAAATGCTAAGTACGGGCGAAAGACTTACTCTTTTGAGACATGTACTTGCGGCCTTACCAATCCATGTGTTTTCAGCCCTAAGTCCTCCCGCTTCAGTACTCAAACAAATGGAGAAAAGGTGCCAGAGGTTTTTGTGGCAAGGTTCGAGTGAAGAAAAGCGAAGGCATTGGTGCTCTTGGGAGAAATTAACATTTCCAATAGAGGAAAATGGTCTAGGGTTGCGCCGATTTATTGATATAGTGCAAGCTTTTTCATATAAGCTATGGTGGAAATTTAAACATCAATATGGATTATGGAGCAAATTTATTTGCTCGCTCTCGGACACTGCTAAGAAAAAAAATAACCTGGAGTAGGGTCTTGGAAATCGAGCAAAAGGCAGCAAAAAACTCAAAGGTCTTGGTCCGTGGAGGTGATCGATTGCTCTGGTTTGACAATTGGCTGCCCGATGGCATACTTTGGGATTGCACACATGGTTCTCCTCCAATGCCAAATCTTACCATACGCAATTTTCTTACTAATAAGGATTCGCTCTTGACTGAATTGTATGGGGCGCTTGGTGAGCAAAAGGTCCAACTCTTGCGCGACATAGATATCCCCCTCACTGGCGAACCTGATTTGCTTGTTTGGAAGCATTCATCTAGAGGTAATTTTTCAATAAAGTCGGCATTCTTGAGCCTGAGGAGAAGGAATCCAGTGGACTTGTTGGCTAAAAATTTTTGGCATAAATTGATTCCTCTAAGGGTGTCGTTTTTTGTTTGGAAGCTCAGAAATTTGTTGGTGCCACTTCCAGAGATCTTATCCAAATTCGGTATCCAGGTTCGGCCCTCTATTTGTTTGTTTTGTAGAATGTATGAAGAGAATATATCCCATTGCTTATTTGGCTGCCCGGAAATCAATTGTATTTGGGTGCATTTTGCCAATCTGTTTGATCTTCAAATTGATGCCATGGCCACATTGCTTGATTTGTTACATATGTGGTGGAGTGCGGGTGGCTTTTCCTCGGCGAAGCAATCTCTCATTAGAATACTCCCTTCTTTTATTCTTTGGGAAGTTTGGAAAGCTAGGAACAAAATATTCTTTGATGGCATTCCGGTTGAGAAGGGGAGAGTTATTCATGAAATAACTATCTCTATTCGGAACATTTTATTTGTACATGATTTGAAGACTAGGAATGTGGTGGAAAGGGAATTCATTGATGATGCATTTGGTATAAAATTACAAAAAAGTTCAAAGAAGGACTTGTATCTCGGTTTGTTGGGAGTCGCGAAGCAATGAAGGCTTTGTTCTCAATACTGATGGGTCGGCTGCTTCTGAAGATTCTGGCTATGGTTTTGTCATTAGGTGCTTTGGTGAGAACTTTCTGTATGGAGAGCATGGGTATGTTGGTGCGTGTGACAGCTTTGGAGCTGAGGTTTATGGGCTGCTTTTTGGTGTTCGAAAATGTGCTCATCTCAATTTGGAGCATGCTGACGTTCAAACGGACAATAAGGTGCTAGCTGATCTTTTGAGGAATCTAAATTTGATCCCATGGAAATATTACTTTCAAATTATGGAGATTCATAGTATTATAGAGAGGCGTTCATACTCAATTTCTCATATTTTTCGTGAAGCAAACTCAGTGGCGGACAGCTTGGCCGGTCAAGGATCACAAGGGCAATCTTGCATTTATACTAGATTCCGGGAATTGCCAAGGCATACTCGTGGTCTAGTTTGTTTAGATCAAATTTCATTTCCATATGTACGAGTTAGGCTCAAATAGCGTTGTAACATGGCAAGTCTTAAGAACTTCCGGATTTTTTCTATTAATGAAATTTAATAAAACAGAGGTAGGGAGAAGCTGAGGAACTAAATGCTGTATATGTCCATCCCTCGGATACACCCCGTGGGTGCATTATATCATTTGGCTATAACTCATTCAAAAATCCATCTCTTGGGTAGACCCCTTGAGTTATTTTGATACAGTTAGAACCTGAGCTCCTCTCTAAACCTCCTATTTATTTTTTTTAAAAAAATTTATAGCCATCAACTCTTTCAATCCACCTTCATGTTTATCAAAACTTAGAAAAACTCCTCTATTTATGAAACTCAAGAATTTCTTTCTTTATGACTTTCAGGATCAAATAGCTAGCTCCATCGAATATCTAATCCAGATGCAGATAAAATAATAATAATAATAATAATATAATTATATATTAAAGAGATTTTTACTCTATAATAATGTGCAAATCCTAACTAACTTAACTGGGAGATTTCTCAAAATTCTAACGGATATTATATTTTTGCCCCTTAATAAGGATATCTCCGCGCATTGCCCTAAACATAAGCAATACTAATTATATAGGATTATTGTTGATTACGTTGTGTAAAAATTCCAAAAGGAAAAATAATAATAATAACACTAATCATATAATTATATAATAAAGAGTTTTTTACCATATAATAATGTTGTCCTCAATATTCTTTAACTAATAAAAATATATACTCCTTATATTATCGTAATTTATGTTAATAATAGTGCCCACATAATATTTGCCGTTATAATAATGTGTCGCTGGTAATATTAGATGAAATATTAAGGATGACAACGTAATATACCTCTGACAAGCTTTCAATCAGACACATCACATGGCAATATCACATAAAAATATGAGAAATATTGACAGTAAAGATTATTTTATGTAAAGAAATACTGATAAGATTTTTGGTCAGAGGGAGAGTTTAAAAGATGTGACATGGATAGGAATATTTATCGGGATCATTATAAAAAACTAAGAGAATACTTATAAACAATATATTTCTAGGGGTTTTTGGAAAAGACTTTCAAAGGATCGTGGGGGCCTAGTGGGGACCCCTGCCGGTTGTTTACTAGCCATAGGATGGCTAAGGTAGCATTTTGTGGCGATAGCAGCAGATCTTGTAGGCAAGACCAACGACAACAGCAGCAGTTGGTGGACAACCAGCAGCAGCAGTGACTGGAGGCGGCGAACTAGTGTCTGCATTGGTGTGGTGTGGTTGGAAAGATCCGGTGATGCAGTGCGGTGCGGCGTGTGAGTCCACAGCAACAGTGGTGTCCACAGCAGCGCAAAGTCTGGTGCGGATTGACGCAGCGGTGATGTGGCTCTGATGGCTCTGATGGCTCTGATGGGGTGTCCTCCATTGTGGGCGGTCTCTATGGTGATGCAGTAGCCACACCAACCAGCCAGCAGCATCGACAACAGCCAGCGGGCGGTGGCGGCGGTTAGGCTTAGAGGGGAAATACTCCTATTATTTAGTATAGCATATCCAAAGGGAAAGTAAAAAGCCAGTTTTAGTTTTATTTTTCGTAACTTGTAATAAGCATTATTTCTTTTGAATTTTCATTGCCCTCTTCATTGCGTTTGCTATTTATTTTGATTTGTTTTATAAAATTGTATCATGTCTTTTGAATTCCTTATAATAAATGCAAAAAATATTTAATTCGTCTTGCACTTTTCAAATTCCTCTATTTCACTCCTCTGCACTTTATTTATATTTCCATCTCTAATTCCCACACCACATTGCAACAATAAAAAGTAAATCCCTTGTAACATTTCAAATTGATTTTGCTTTTGAATATGATCAATTTTTCAAATGAATAGATGTTAAACCCACACGATGTGCGAGATTTATTCATATACATTTATAAAAAAAATTTAAATATTCAATTCGATACATGCAAATAAAATTATTAGTTTGTAATAAGAAATCTTATCATAAATATTTAAAAAAGAGGATCGCATCTATGACTGGTAACTTTATGTGAAATAAGATAATAACTCGTGAAAAGATGAAAATACCCGACTAAATTCAACACAATTTTAGTTAAATTCAAATTGGACTAAGTTTAATTCTTTGTTGGTTTTCCTTTAAAATATGAGGATGGCTTGAAAGTTTTTGTGATGACTGCTGAATGTTTGTGAAGTTATTGAAATGGTGAAGTATGCTATCATTTATATGTTTTTTTTAGGATTTTTTTCCCAAATTATTTGGATTCTTGGAAAGTCATGTAGAAATTTGGATTGATTTTAGTTTAAAATAATTAAATAATTTTTTACTATTATTTAAGAATGCAATTTTTTTGAATTAATTAGGATAGAATAAATCATGAATGTAGCCATGATTTGGCCTTTAGTTCATGTATTAAAGAAAAATATTGTTACCAAATTAAAGTGATTTTTCTTTTAAAAAAATGAGAGCACTTAATACTAAAATTAATTACTTTGCATAATACAGTAATTGGGGTGGTTTGATATTATTGACATAGTTCAAGGATTATTAGCATACATTCAGAAACTATTTTTTCCCAAAGTTTTGAGAAATTGACATGTAGGATTTTGTTGCTTACATGGCACTCTAGAAACATGATTTTATTTTCTCTCTCCAGTTTCTCTCTTAGTATAATACTATAGATACCCACCACTTTCTTGATCTTGTCTTATAGTCTCTCCTTCTCAATATGATTGCTTTGTTTGTTGTTCAAAAAACTATAAAACAAAAAAGCACGATCATTTTGAGATGGAGAAACTATACAACAATGTTTGCAGGATCGTGATCCTATGTAGGATCGAAATGGGATTATAGAATCGGATCGTAAATGGGATCATAGAATCGGAATATTAAGATCGTAAAATTAATTAAACATGTTATGTAATTAATTGCTTTAATAATTAGGTTTCAATTATTTTTACATAAAGTATTTAATAGCTAAACAAAAAGAATTGTGTAAATTCAACTTTTTTATATGAATTGTTTCATAATTTTTTTAGAAAAACTCTTCTCTTATAGTTTTTTTTTTCATTTTATTAAAAAAACTTTCTAAAATGTATTTTTCTTAGCAATAAGATAAAAGAAAAATGTCAATAAGCTCAATTATTTTTTCGTAATTGATGAATAGTAAACTCGGACCGATCCTACGATCCTGACCGATCATGTAATATCCTAACCGATTTTAACCAATCTCACTGCAAAATTCGAGTTTGATCAATCCAGGATCGATTTAGGTACTTGGGATCGTAGGATCTGAATCTCGAGTTTGCAAACTATGCTATACAAAGTTCAGGATCATCAAAATGAAGTAATTAAGTAATTTAGTTAATCGATGAGCAAATGCAGATGAAGGCTACAACATCAAAGTTTCACGATCATCAAAATATGGAAAGGATCGACAAGTTCCCCCAGTAAATGCTTTCTGCTGGTCAAATTTTGCGTAAATCCCTTTTTCGGCCAGGTAAAGATGATGGTTTTTTTTATCTTGCTCCCTTGAGAATCCATCTTAAGGAAATTTTGTTTTCCAGCAACCATGGGGCGACAATTGAGACGAATGAATGTCGCAAGATTGTAATATTCTTTGATGTTCCACAAGATTATGAATTCTCAAATTAATGCATGATATGGAAACTATCTTATTATTAAAAAAAAATACAAAGTTCAAGATTTCAAACGTTGTTTTTATATAATGAGCAACGGGACTGGCTGGGAAATTGCGTAAATTTGAAGGTATTTTAAAGCATTTCATTTAAACACAGTCGAGATAAATGCAGTTGAACCTCGAATAGATTGATCAAAATTTCACTTTAATTTTTGTGAGTGTGAAATTTTTAATTAAGCCAATGAATGAGTTTATCGTGTTTTTCTCTTTGTTAAGAAAATTACATGTACATCAGCATGCATATATATATTTGGGTGATTTTGTGTCAGGATTAAAATTTGGGTAATAATCAAAACTAGAATGGGCATGCGCGCAAGCGCGTATGATCTCACTAGTAATGTGTAATATGATAGTTGTTTTACCCACTTATTTATTTGTAGTGAGTTGTTTCTCATTCCCCGTTTAATTATCCCTTTTACCCTATTAAAGCAGAAGACATGAAGCTTATGTGGTAATTACGTATGCATCTGTTTTGGCTCCAATGCACCATATTTCAGATTTCAGGAGTCTTTTTGTCACGTGTAAGTCTCTTTTAATTAGAAGCTATATAATTTATTTTTTAAAAAAAACACATGTTTTAGATGTGACACTTATCCAATGAAAAAATTCTACAAATAAGAATCAGTTACATTTCAATCGAATGGATATATTAATTCAAATTCAAATATCCAATCGTACAGTTTTGTAGGCTTAATATAAACAAAAAATGAAAAAAACTAAATCCAGTAATTAAGAATAATGCATTATAAACTAATTATTTATTATTCCCTTATAACCTCAGATTTATAGGTATATTTTTTTAAGCCCCAAACCATAGCATAAATGATATATACGCCAAATTAATTCCTCAAAAAATAGTAATTCAATTAGATTTTAATAAAATAGTAATTTAGAAGGGGCGCCCGTGCATCTGCCTGGGCCAAACATCTAGTTTGGTTTACATTAACTCTGGCCATTTAAAGGGATGATTTTGAATTAAAAAGAGGTGGTTGTATTTTTTTTTTCCCTGGTTAATAGTCAATCCATTGTTTTCCATTTTTATTTCTCTTTGGTCATTTGAAGGGATTTTTCAATTTTCATTTTCAACTGATTGTATTTTAAATATTTATTTATAAATTAAATTATTTAGGTTATTAATTTAGCAATTTATTTTGCCTTAATTATTGAAATTTAATATTTAAAAAATGTAGTGGTGAGAATATTCTAGTTTCTCTCCTTTTTTTAAAAAAAATTAAACCATGCGAGTATTTGAGAAATTTGTAGATAACTAGAAATATTTTTCAGGGGAGTGCTTAAGACTTAACCTATACAAGAGACCGTAAAAAAGACAGAGATTTAAATATCAGTAAATATACTGATACTTTCAAAAAAGATCTAATTGGACCTATACAAAATTATGTCTAATGTCTGGTATTTTTCAGACTTTTCAGAACTATTTTCCTAGTAACTCAATAAAAAAAAAATATATAAGCTAAACTTCTTGTCATCATGATTTGCTTCTTTCGGATAACAGATCTGAACTGCAGCTTTTAGTGGGCATATCGAGAATTCAAATCTGTGAGTGATATACAGAAAAATTGAACACTGTTAATTCCCCAAAGAGTCACTAAAATATAATTAATCCGAATTCGAACTTGAACCAAATATATGAAATAACCGTATAAACCAATTTGGTTGGTTTGTAACCCAGACCGGAGAACCAATATGTACCGGCTCACCGGGTATTGAGGATTGGCAGACCGGTTTCTGAGAGTTGGCCGACGAAGCGGCTGTGTAACAAGGAGCCAGAGGTCCGGCTTTGGGTGGCTGGCAAACTGGTTTGATGGTAGCGATGGCTGTGACGGCTGCCGACGCGGACTGTGGACCTCCATAGCATCGGACTTCTCGCCGGCACTTAGATTTGAGAAATCAGATTCTCGATCTGCATATGTCAAGACAGAATGGGGGGAGGCCGGATGCGTTAAGCTTAGGCGCGGAAGCTGCTTCTACAGGAGATCAAGGCGGCGGGGAGAGGAACGTTCTGACAGTGGCAGTAGAATCAGATCTGAGTAACAACTCAGGCTGTGGCAGTCAACACTATCAGGTGGCTAATCCACGGGCAACGATCTCAGGGCAGCGCCTGATCTACATCAGCAGCGACTGTTCTTCGATGGTTGGTCTGGAGCCGGTCGCCGGATCAATTGGTGGCTGCTACTTTGGTTTTATTTGAGCAGAGGAGAAAAAACATAAAATAAAAGAAAAAATTGACTCCGGTTTGGGGGAGGAGGAAGGTGTTGTTGTGGGGTGGTGGCTGGATTTTTTAGGGTTTTCCAGTTTCTCCTTAATTTAAACTGACCTCTATTAATTAAGTCATTTTCAGTGATTTTGTTATCTAGTTTTATTTTTAACATATCATGCATTCTCAACTTACTTTATTTTAGATTTTTTTACTCCTTTAATTTGATTTAATTGTTTTTCATTAAATAATTTTTAACATATCATGCATTCTCATCTAATAATTTCTTTTTTACTATAAGTCAACCGTTTTTGGTGATATTTTATTTAAAACAGGAGGCTGGGAGAAAACTTTTCCTTAAAGAATATCATTTAAGCATTTTTTTTTCTCCATTAATCTCTTTGGTCATTTTCAGTAATGTCAGTTTATATATATATATATATATATATATATATATATATAT